TCCACCACAAATCCATATCATCTGGTATCGACCTCGATATCATAAATTCACATGTCTTCCTCTGAAAATTAATGGAATCACGCGACGCAAGCCTAAAGCAACGCACACCCAACTGGCTTGACTGTTCTCCTATTCCTTGATCAAGATGTTAGATGTTATGGGATGGTTTCCTAGGGGTAATATAGTAATCTTACAGAACCCATTGGACTGGAAGACTTCATAAACACACAGAAAGACACACCCAGGTTCTGGATTCTTTTGTGAAGAGTAAGAAGGATCAAAGGTAACTACCAGTGACACCTCCATGCCCTTTTCAGTTGTTCTTCTTCTCTTTTTGCTTTTGATATTTCTCACTTTCTTCTTTCCTCTGCATCTATATGTTTTGGTTAAGCAAGTGGGTCGGTGGGTATGATAGTTTTGGCAATTTAGATTCCTAGTCTCTCTAAAGCCTGCGTTTTTACACTATCTTTATTTGTTCAGATAAATTGGAATCTCATGGTATCAATTGTGATTCTGGCTCTAGTCTTCTTGTGGAGTGAGTTTATTTTGCTGTCCTGGTTGCTATTTTGTTGTTTGAAGCTTTATTTTATTGTGGATTCAAGAATATGTTTCTACCTAATGACAACGATTTGTTTGTGTTATAAATATGATCTTGGATTGCAAAATGTGATGCAAGACTGTGTATTTGGCAACATGTCGTGCTCAATGTTTTGGGAAATCAAATAAATTACTGCCATTTTTTATGACTGAGGGATGAGATATTTGTCTGGTTGTATTTGGCATGTTTACGAATCCCTCTAATTGCTGGCTGACTAAGTATTTCTCCTTGAGTTTTGGTTCATTTCTGGGTGATACCTATGCCTCCGGAATATTCCAGTAGCTAGGAACAACAATTTTTGTGGGATAAGTTTCATTTGGTCAATTTGTGTTTATCATCCTCTGTGCTAAAATATCTTTAATTGAAATCTTTAGCATCCATTGGATTGGAAGACTCCATAAACACACAGAAAGATAGACCTAGATTCTGGATTCTTTTGTGAAGAGTACAAAGAAGGATCAAAGGTAATTACCAGTGGCACCTCCATACCCTTTTCAGTTGTTGTTGTTCTCTTTTTGCTTTTGATATTTCTCACTTTCTTCTTTCCTCTGCATCTTTTTGTTTTGATTAAACAAATGGGTCGGTGGGTATGATAGTTTTGGCAGTTTCGATTCCTAGCCTCTCAAAAGCCTGCTTCTTTAGTATGTTTAGATAAATTGTTTTTTTCCCTTTGGTGATTAGTTAAATTCAGGTTTGGAATCTCATGGTATTCTGGCTCTAGTCTTCTTGTGGAGGGAGTTTATTTTGCTGTCCTGGTTGCTATTTTGTTGTTTGAAGCGTTTTTTTATTGTGATTTCAACAATATAGTTCTACCTAATGAAAACGATTTGTTTGTGTTATAAATATGAACTTCAATTGAAAAATGTGATGCAATGCCATGTGCTTGGCAACATGTTCTGCTCCATTTTTTGGTAAATCAAATAAATTACTGCCATTTTTTACGACAGAGGGATGATATATTTGTCTGGTTGAATTTGGCATGTTTAGAAATTCCTCTATTGCTGGCTGACTAAATATTTCTCTTTAAGTTTTGGCCCATTTCTGGTGATCCCTATGCCTCCGGAATATTCCAGTAGCTAGGAACAAAAACTGTTTTTGTAGGATACGTTTCTTTTGGTCAATTTATGTTCATCATCCTCTGTGCTAAAGTCTGTTTAATTGAAACCTTCAGCAACCTTCAGGTGCTTCAGTTTGGTGCCTTCAAAGGTAATTCTCAGCTTTCCTCGAATCTTCCATTAAGAGAAGCAACATCCTTCTTGTGCTTGAACTCTTCCATCTGTATCACTTCTATTCGGTTGTGTAATAGTCTTTATAATCATAAGCAAACTGGCTTGGTATTTCCTAGTTTTATTGTTTTTATCATGTAAAATAGTGCTGCAGACTCATTGCTTTAAAATGTACAGAAGAATCATAAGTCTGACTCTACATCTAGAGAATCTGCGAAACCCCCTCCTCCTTCCAGGGATCATTTATTGTATCTGAGTTGAAAGAGAAAAAAATGAATTGTGTGGAGGGGTTGGGGGCTGGAGTGTTATTTGCTTCTAGCAATAGTACTATCTCCATAAAGTATTGGAATAGTATCCATCAAACATAGTCCTGGCTAAATCATCTTCCCTTGAAATATGCGATATTCTTGACTGTTTTTGGTTTGCATATCCAGAGTAGAATATATCTCTTCCATGTTGATTAAATCTTGTCCCCTTTTAACTTGCACATCCAGCATAGAATATTTTCTCTTCCATGTTGATTAATATATTTGGAATATGCATTTCCTAGCACTAATAGGACGTGATTTCAAGGATTATTAGCACATGGTTCGTTTAAATGTCTTCTTCTTTTTCCTGCCATCAATCTAGTTTCTGTAGATATGTAAGAGGTACTAGAGGATGACAAACAACTTATCTCTTGTATGTTCATAGACCATGTCAGGTTTATCCATTAGAACTTGTGGAAATACTTAACTAATTTTCTTTGACCCACTGACTCAGAGCGTCAATTCCAGAATCAAGGCTTCGATTCTCTTGCCATTAATCAATTTCACTTTTTCTCCATTTTTTAATGGCTAAGAATATGCAATAGATGTACTTGGATTATTGGAATTAATTTTTCATCTATTGCAAACTGAGTGTCAAGCTATTCCTCCAATTTCAAACATCTAATCCTTGCTACTTGGAATCAGATATCAGAATGAACATAGAAGCCAGATTTTCTCAGCTTTGTTTCTCAGTGATAATATCATACCTTGAGTATGGTTACACTGTCTGCTGTCCTACTGATGGTCATACAGGTGCAATGGCAATCCTAACAGTTTTTACCTATTATTTGAAGTTAGCTGCGCAATCAATTTTTCTTTGGGAAGTTTGTTTATTTTGTATGTTATTAGCCAGTTTGAAACTTCTATAGTGGTATTAGAAACCTAAAACTTATTATCTCTTTTTGGCTAAAATAATGATTTGGTCCCTTTGCTATTTACTTTTGTTCGGATTAGTCTTTTCCGCAATTTTTGGTCTAATTAGTCCCTATACTTTTAAAGAGAATTTCAGTTTAGTCCCTCCCATTAAAAAATTAGTCCTGCCCTTGATCTCCAGCTCAGCACTGTCGATTTCGGCCATTTGTATGGAGACCTTGGCGTCATCGTCGTGCTCGCTCTTTTCGTTGAATCGACCACCGTCGTCACGTCTGTTGAGCTCGTACTGAGCTGTGTATTCTGGACCAGAATCCGTGCCTCGATCAAGAAGCACAAGAGGATGAAGAGACGAAGTCATTGTACATTTTTTTTTTCTGAGAAACATATAGAAGGGCTTCGCCTTTTTGATACATTCTTTTAAGACTAAAAATAATGATTTGGTCTATGTTCACCATGCTTGCCTCCAAGTATGCAAACTAGGTCTTTTTTAATATCACGTCACATGTCATATAGAATCTGATGTGGCATTCAACTTATACTTAAATCAATTAAAAGGTGTCATGTGTCAAATTTATTGACACATGAAAATTTGACTATAAGTTAAAAGATGTTTACTTCTATTTACGGGAGGGACTAAATCAACCTTCTTTAAAAAGTAAAGAGACTAATTCAACAGAAATAGAAAGATAAACTAACTTGAATAAAAGCAGATAGTATAGTGGCCAAATAATTATTTTACTCATATGCTTTTTGATGTTCTGAATTATTAGTTTCAGACTCAACTTTTAATAAATGCTTCTATTTTTTTGGAACGCATCATCCTTTCTATGTTCATGAAGATTATTTTGTAGTACATTATTCTTGATAGAGAACGTAATAGTTGTTACGTATATGCAATTTTGTTCTCATATATTGCAAAATGATTAAAACAAAATGCCAACTGCACAAATTTTCTGGCTATAAGTCTTAAGAATTCACTAACATGGCTTTTGCTCTGATATTGCTGTGAATTTCAGATGGAAGTGCAAAATTCTGAGCATGGACAAATTATTGAAATAAGTGTAGATGTTCCTGATGCTGGAACTAATAGTGGAAGCAATAAGATTTGTGGGAAAGCACCATGTGGATTCTCAGATGCTGGAACAAAGTCTAAAGATGTTAAAGAACGGTCAGCTTCCATGCGCAAACTTCTAATGGCAATAACACTTTGTGTTATCTTCATGACTGCTGAAGTAGCTGGTGGCATCAAAGCCAATAGTCTGGCAATCTTAACTGATGCAGCACATTTGCTCTCAGATGTTGCAGCTTTTGCAATCTCCTTGTTTTCTTTGTGGGCATCTGGCTGGGAAGCTAATCCACGTCAAACATATGGATTTTTTAGGATTGAGATTCTCGGTGCTCTTGTTTCTATCCAGCTTATATGGTTGCTTGCAGGGATTCTAGTATATGAAGCCGTTGTGAGATTCGTTAATGACACAGCAGAGGTGAATGGTTTCCTTATGTTTATCGTTGCTGCCTTTGGTCTGGTAGTGAATATTATCATGGCTCTTTTGTTGGGCCATAATCATGGCCACGGCCATGAGCATTATGATCACAATCATGCCACCAGACATGGTCATGGAGTGAAGATTACTAATCCTCATCATCATCATCATCATCATCATCATCATCATGAGCATCACTCCCAAATTGGGCATGATCATAAGAAGGAACATGCTAAACATGATGAACACCATGACCATGAGGAACAGCATTCTAAAGATGAGCATCGCACCCATGAAGATCATTCTCGGCCATTGCTGGATAATCCAAAAGGTGAACATGAGCAGAAGTCAGGATGGAACATAAATGTACAGGGAGCTTATCTCCATGTACTTGGGGACTCCATTCAAAGTATTGGGGTGATGATTGGAGGGGCAATCATATGGTATAATCCTGACTGGAAGAGAGTTGATTTGATCTGCACCTTATTCTTTTCAGTTATTGTTTTGGGTACAACAATCAACATGCTACGAAGCATACTTGAAGTTCTGATGGAGAGCACACCCAGAGAGATTGATGCAACAAAGCTTGAAATGGGTCTTCTGGAAATGGATGAAGTGGTTGCTATTCACGAGCTGCATATATGGGCCATAACAGTTGGGAAAATCCTACTGGCATGCCATATCAAAATCAGACCGGAAGCAAATGCAGACCTGGTTCTGGACAAAGTGGTAGAATATATAAGAATGGAGTATAACATCAGTCATGTTACTATACAGATTGAGCGTTAGTGGCAACGGGAAATCTTCATCAAAGCTGAGCCCTTGTCATTTGCCTGCACATTATCTTTATAGGCAAAGCACTTCCTGTTTTACTGTGATTAAGATTGATTTGTAGGTGGCAAATAGTCGATAACTGTTCTTAGTCTGATTTCCATACAGTAGTTTATATGAAAGATTATCCAAGATTCAGTTTAGTAAGAATTCCATCTTTTGCTACATTTCATACTAGTTATATATCATATTTGTTATCACATGCATATCTTATTCTTCCTATGGAAAGAAACTTTCATCGGGCTGCAAATAGGAAGATGCGATGCTGCTTCTACAGCAAGGCACTATCTTGTTTTGAAGAGACCGGGTCTACCAGTGTACAAGTAAAATGGCGGGTTTCCCAGACATAGTACTAGATGAGATTTAATATCCCCCTGACCAGGAGTACCTCAGTCAGTTATTCACGGG